GGGAGGGTCTGATTTCAGAACTCATGCTAATCATAGCCACTACTCCATTGCGCCTCCCTGCATCTAATAATAGGTAAACATCTTGCCTGGATGGGAATCTACCCTGCCCCATAGCATAATGCCATCAGCTATGCTGCAGACCCTGCTTTGACCTTACATCATTGTTCTAGTCTTACTCTCTAAAGCCAGGCCCGTCCCTGTCTCCCAGTCCCAGCAACTGTGTTTCTGCCCCATCATTCATATGTGGGGATTAAAAGAATCAGCCGCCCCAGCACAGTGGCTCACGCCTATAATCCTAGCACTTTGGGAGGCCGAGGTGGGTGGATCACCTGAGGTCAGGAATTCAAAGCCAGCCTGGCCACCATGGTGAAACCCTGTCTTTATTAAAAGTACAAAAAATTGGCCGGGCATGGTGGCTCACGCCTGTAATCTCAGCACTTTGGGAGGCCGAGGCAGGCAGATCAGGAGGTCAAGAGATTGAGACCATCCTGGCCAACACAGTGAAACCCCGTCTCTACTAAAATACAAAAAAAAATTAGCTGGGGGTGGGGCGGTGCGTGCCGGTAGTCTCAGCTACTTGGGAGGCTGAGGCGGGAGAACTGCTTGAAGCCGGGAGGCGGAGATTGCAGTGAGCTGAGATTCTGTCTCAAAAAAAAAAAAAAAAAAAATTAGCCAGGCGTGGTGGCACACACCTGTAATCCCAGCTACTCAGGAGACTGAGGCAGCAGAATCGCTTGAACCTGGGAGGTGGAGGTTGCAGTGAGCTGAGATTGCACCTTTGCACTCCAGCCTGGGTGACAGAATGAGACTCCATCTAAAAAAAAAAAAATAAAAATGTTAAAAAATTAGCCAGGTTAGTGGCATGCACCTGTAGTCCCAGCTACTCGGGAGGCTGAGGCAGAAGAATCGCTTGAACCCAGGAGGTGGAGGTTGCAGTGAGTCGAGATGGCGCCACTGCACTCCAGTGACATAGCAAGATTCCATCTCAAACATCAATAAAATGCATTATTGAGCTGGGCATTGTGGCACGTGCCTGTAAACCCAGCTCCTTGAGAGGATGAGGCAGAATTGCTTGAGACCAGGAGTAAAAACAAAAACAAAAAACACCAGCATTCTGACTCACTTTTTAAAGATTAAGAGACCCAAAGCAAATCACACTGTGCTTCCTTCTTAAATCTTATCCTCAGATGAAGTCAAAATTTACTTTGAAGGGAAAAGAAGTCCCCAAAGGTCAACAGAAAGTCTGAGAAACTGTAAAGATGGAAGGGTGTCCTGTCCACTTTGCCTTGGGACCCAGATTCTGGGGTCAGGCTGAAAATCTCCTCTGAGATCATCCAGTCCAATGGCTCGCAACCATTTCCCACCTCTGACATGAGCTCCCTGTGGCTGTGACTCTCAACCAAGGAGAGAAAGGTAGAAGTGCTCTGCTTGAAAAAGCCCTTCAGGAACGTGAAAGGCAGGGTTGTAGCCTCCTTTGAGACTCACCAATTAGCAAATCCGTAATTTTACAGATGAAGATCTTGAGGTCAGAGAGATGGAGTCTGCCCCAGCATTAGGAACAAAAGGCCAGCACTAAACCGAGACCACCTGACTCCCAGTTCCTGACCTTTCTTCGACTTCCGTAGTCTTTCACAGTAAAGACCGACAAATCTTCCTTTGGAATTCTCTCCCCAATCTCCTACTCACAAGCTGAGCATAAACACTCCTATCAGTACACCTGGTAATTGCTCCTGATATTCTATCACCAGACCTGTTCTGACAGAACTAGCCACAGGCATCCTGGCCACATGCGTGACATTCCTGAATGAAAAGTCTAGATGCTGGCTGGTTTACAACAGCCACTTTGAAAATGCAGGCAATTTACTTTTGCCTGGTTTCAGCAATGGCTAACAATGCAGGATCAAGTCTGGCTTTAGAGAGCCCTTGTTATTTCCACAGCCTTATGTTCATTTGCGAGCCTGGTTACAAGTATGCAGTGCTCAGAGTCCATCCTAATGAGCTGTCGCAACTCAACAGGTAGGGCAGAAGGGGACTAGCTGAGGAATCTGTGTGCAGTTGTGTAGCTCACTGAATTCTCACGGTCAGTCTTCCCAAATTCTCTGGTTTCGTTTGGAAATCTGCCCATCAAGGCTTCTAAAAAATGTATCCTAATATTCCCAGGAAATAAAATATGAGGACTACTAAACTTAATTTGGGAAGTTAGTTCTATTTCAAGATATCATGGAATCAAACCTCCAGGCAAGAGCATTTCAGGTGTTCTCTAAGAACAAAAGTAATACAGTTTATGTTAACGTTACCTAATTGTAAATAAGTGAGCTATGTTTTATACTTAAATCAACAACTCAAACTACCCTGCCCATCCTAATACACCTCCTGAAGAGAGTGTATATTGTATCAGTTATCTACTGCTATGTAACATATCACTCTAAAAAACAGTTGCTTAAACCACAAACATTTATCATCTCAGTTTCTGTAGATAAGACATTTGAGAGTGGTTTAGCTAGGTGGTTCTGGGTTTCTCATGAGGTTGTGGTCAGAGTGTTGGTTGGGACTGCTGTCATGTAAAGTTTGACTGGGCCTGGAGAATTGCTTCTAAGATGGCTCCCTCATGTGGTTTTTGGCTGGAGGCTGCTGCTCCTCACTTCTAGGTCCTCTCCATGGAGCTGCTTGAGTGGCCTTACAATATGGCTGCTGGCTTTCTCCAGAGTGAATGACCCAAGACAGAGTAAGGAGGATGCAATCAATGCCTTTTATTACCTAGCCTCAGAAGCAACACATCATCTATTTGTTGGAAGGAAATCATTAAACTCAGCCTGTACTTAGAGGGTAATGAAGTGTCCTGTCTTAAAGAGGAGCATATCAAAAATTTGTGGATAGATTTTCAAACTACCATAGATGGCAAAGCATCAATCCCACCTTCTATTATTTTCAGATTAATGTTTTTAAAACCAGCATGGTAAAGTACCTGTCATGCATTCAGGTAGAGAATTAAAATATACAAATATCTGGAAAGGCAGTTCTGCTTATGATAAATTTCCTGAAGATTAATTTCACATCATTAACCACAACAACTCCTCCCCAAAAAAGCTCAAAACATTTCTTAAGCAAGAGAGGTTAATGGCAACTTACAAAGGAACAGAATAATTCACTGCACCAAGTATCTTTCTTTTTTCCAAATATCTACTAATATTCACTTCTTTCCTTGACAGAAGCCAATCCATGGTAAAATACTTTTATTCCATTCCTACTTAAGGAATACGTAATCAATATAAAAACTGTACTTTTCTGAGATGGGTGTCTTGCTCTGTTGCCCACGCTGGAGTGCAGTGGTGCAGCAGCTTGCAGCAGCCTTGACCTACTGGGCTCAGGCAATACTCCCACCTCAGCCTTCTGAGTAGCTAGGATCACAGGCATGTGCCACCATGCCCAGCTATTTTTTTTTTTTTTTAATTTGTAGAGGCAGGGTTCCACCACATTGCCCAGGCTGGTCTCAAACTCCTGGGCTCAAGCAATCCTTCTGCCTCAGCCTCCCAAAGTTTTGAGATCACAGGTGTGAGCCACTGCATCCGACTGAAAAACTATTTCTTTCATGCAGGTCATATTGTAGTTGTTTCCACCTAGTGGATGAAAATGGTACTAAAGAGTTTGAAAAAATATATAAAACTTCCTTTACGGGTACTTCAGGAGTTACACACTTCTGCAACTTTTTACAATCATATCACATACTTTATGTATGTAGGTAGCTTAAATCTCAATAAATCCTACAGAAATTCTTCCTATAAAGGAAGCACTCTGTTTTGTAGATATAAATTTTCATATTTACTGCCACCTTTGGAATTCTTCAGGCCAACAACCTGGAATATTGCTAAGAACCAAGAAATAAGCCAGTCTCCTGGCAGCCAACAGATGTCACAGTGTGTACATACTAGAGCCCTGTCAGACGGATAACTATAAAAGCAGAGAATAGTTGGATGCCTGGCACATGAAACTCAATGAAGATCTGTTAAAGGAACCAATAAAGCTCATGATTTTATTCCAAAGGAGAGTCTTTCTCCCAGAACCTAGTTCCTCATTCCTACCTTATTACACAAGTCATAGAAATCTATGAATTCTAATCTTATAGCAGACCAGAGAAGAAATAGGTCAAGAAAGTTCATTTTGGTCAAGGTGTTGAGATTGACAACTGACAGCAAATAAGGAAAGTGTTGTACGAGACACAAAACAAACCACAGCCTTCTTGGGGCCAGTCTGGGAACAAGCAATACGGTACAACTTGAGTTTATATAATAACTGTGGATTTAGCAAGAAACGGTTATTGGCCAGGCATGGTGGCTCACGCCTGTAATCCCAGCACTCTGGGAGGCTGAGGTGGGTGGATCAAGAGATCAAGAGATCAAGAGCATCCTGGCCAACATGGTGAAACCCCGTTTCTACTAAAAATACAAAAATTAGATGGGTGTGGTGCTGCACATCTGTAGTCCCAGCTACTCAGGAGGCTGAGGCAGGGGGGGAATCGCTTGAACCTGGGAGGCGGAGGTTGCAATGGGCTGAGATAGTGCCTCTGTACTCCAGCCTGGCGACAGAGAAAGACCTGTCTCAAAAAAAAAAAAAAAAAAAAAAAAAACACCAGAAATGGTCATGGTTTTTTATCTTATATACATTTAAGAATGTAACATATTTTTGAAAATTTTTTGATAGAGACTTTTTTAAAGTTTCATTGCTTAAAAGGATGAGCTCTTAATCATTTGGTAAATGTGGTTATTCAGGAAAATCAATTTCCTGAGGGCTCCAAACAATAAAAGCTTGATAGCATACTTTGAACACATATTAACTAAAAAAGTTTTACTAGTGTCATACACACTAAAATAAATATTTTCACTATAGTCACTTACATTAAAAATAAGGGTCCTCAATTAGCTGCGTTAATTTTTCTTTCCTTAATTTTTTTAAACAAATGGAGTTCTTGAGGTAGCCAGTGTACAGTAATCCTCAGTTCCACCCCCACCATCCACATATAACTCTGTTGACTTTAAATAAGCAAAAGTAATATCCTTGCTTGGAAAATTCAAAATTTACAGGAAGTTTAAAATGTGAGAAGTACAAGTCTCCCTCCTAGTTTCTATACCCCAGACAGATATTCAAACAGAATGACACAGACAGGCTGAGTTCCTCAGTCCCCTTCCTCAGCAACAGCCACTTTTAACACTTTCAGATGCGTTCTTCAAAAACAAGTATTACTGCATATGAATACATGTCCTTTTGGAAATATAGGCCCCTAGAATTTACCCATTCCTCCATCATCAGTTTGCACTTTAATACACAGGGTTTTTGGTGGATTTTTCTTAAGATGAGGTCTCCTCTTTTGCCCAGGCTGGAGTGCAGTGGCACAGATAGCTCACTGCTGCCTTGAACTCCTGGGCTCAAGTGATCCTCCTGCCTCAGCCTCCCAAGTAGGGACTACAGGCATGTGCCATTGCAGCTGGCTAGCACAGAGTTTTTTGTTGTTGTTCTCTCTCTTCAAGTTCTGAAAATTAAGCTAAAAACAAAACAAAACAAAAAGCAAACCTTCCCAAATTTTACTTCACAAGTTCTTTGTGTTAAAATAGAACAAAAAAACTACCAAGAGTATCCCAATTCCAAATATCGATGATTTTTCCAACTGAAGAAAATAGTTTCTTTTGTTCCTACAAAAACCTTGGTTTTTAACTATAACTTAGTCTTTCAAAGGGCATGTTTTTCATATAATCAGTTCAATTCAAAATGTAACTGAATATCTACTATGTGCAAAGCACCATGTACTATGCACAGTTTAAGACACAGCCCCGACCCATTAAGAACTTGCTGTTCATATAGTAAAGGAAGGAAGGAAGGTGGAAGAGAGAGGGACTGAGAGGAGACAGAAGGAAATGCTATCATAAATCACTGAGGCCTAAAATGAGGATGGGGCCATGCCCAGGTCAAATGGAAAAGACAGCAAACAGCTAACTAGAAACAACACATTTAGTGCGCACTCCTGCTTCCTTCTTACCACCCTCTATGTTCTTCCCAGCTATCCTAACCTGTCTGAGCTTGATTATCTCCAAATGATTTTGAACAATCCTCAACAAAAATGGAATGGTGAACTTGGATTAGGATAGTAGGTCCTGAACTTATGAAGGAAAGCCTAACAATAAACTGATCACTGTGCAGAGACTTTTACATGTGATTTTGCTTCTGTAATTCTTTAAAATGTTTTCTTCTTACCCAAGGTAGGGTGAGGTGTAAAACCATGGTGGTCCCATACAGACCAGGTAGATAAAAAAGAAATAAGGTTAAATTCAGACGTTTTAAAAAAAGAGTTGAGGAAGGATTTAATAAAGATACATGCTCTTCTAAATTCTAAAACCACATAACTCTGGAGAAGGTGCATGTTCTTCTGTTTCTCTTCAAGGCAAAGAAAACAGTATAACAAAATTTTCCCTTACGTACTTTACAATAGTAATTATAAAAAGTCTGTGTTTTCATTCTAAATGAGCCAGAACTCTAAAGAACCTACCAACTTGTTTCTCCTCTCATTTCCACGGCTGTGGTCCTCTCACAGAAGTAATGAAAAAAACACCAGCAGGAGAAAAAGGTACAAAATGTCAGCATGAGTAAGGTTTCCCATCAAGTCAGGTATTTACACATGTGAACATTATTTGCAAAAATTTTAGGGAAATATTTTCTTTGCTTTTAGGCTGAATCTGCAAAGACACTCAATTCCTAGGCAGCAGTAATCCTTATGAAAATAGAAACAATATGAAACTGAAATGTTTACTATAGATGTGTTATTAGGTTTTCCTAATTATATGAAAAGTCTATGAGTAAATAGCTTAAGAGGGCTTCTTGCTTCAAAATATAGTAATTTTAAATGTGAAAGCTATCCATTTCTGATAAAAATTCTGGACAACATTAACATTGAGTAAACATTTATTGTGATTTCTCCCCCTCTGGTATGTTTATTTTTCCTAGTTCTCCAAATGACACAGTTGCGGAACCTCTTTTAGCTGGTCTTGCCTGAAAATAATAAAGATTAAAGATATTAGAAATAGAGAGATAATACACAGCCCCAATTAAAGCCCTTAATGCTGTCTTACAAGTTAGTATTTACCCCCTCCCCCAAGTTAGTAAAGAAAAAGCTGAACATGAACCCACTAAGAAAAATGATCCATCTTGATAACATTACCTGTGACTCATGGTATTTCCATCCTATCATGTAATAGATCTGATATGTGGCAGGTACTGAACCATCCTCATTTCTGTACATTTCTAAAAAGACAAATAATGGTTAAAGTCTGAAAAAATGCAAGAAGGAAAAAATTTCTGCTCAACAAGTCATGTTCTTCAAAAAGAAATGGGTAGCAGGATACTTGTAAGATTCTGAGAAGGCCTTCCATGAAAAACTCTTAATACAGAGGGTAAGGAGATAGAAAAGGCTGTCTGGAAAAAGAGCTTCAGGATCTGTGTTTTGACAGCAAGGCCATGAAGTCTGAGGGAGCCTTAATGGGAATGGAAAATGCATTGGCAATGCAAAAGGAATCAACACGGTACAGCACAGTGCTTTGGTGAGGCGGGTGGAAAGAGTGGTCGCCCTTACCTCTGTACACGGCTGCAGCTGCCAGCATTGTGTTTCGATGCAGTAGGGCTTTTCTATTCCAAGAACAGTTACTCTCACCCATACCTAAAAATACACTACAAGTAGTCTGACATAATACAGCAAATACCCAGAACAGCTCAGTATCACAGACTTATTCCCATCTCATCCAACAGTATACCTGTTCTTCTCTAAGAGTCATGTAAAATAGCCTAAATCTCATTTCACTTTCAGAAAATAGCTAGGCTTCTTATTGACTTTAAAGACTACTTGAAAATTCTTGAATATTAAGACAGGCAAGTGAAATTTCAGGAGGCAGCCCCACAACGCTTTACTTGCTAGCAATGGTCTAAAGTAAGCCAGCTGGGCAAAAGCCAGGTGACTGCCACCCTAGGTGAGTCGTCAGTAGTTGGCAAGAACTTTACCAAGGATGTCACATCTCATGCTCCTTTTAGCTGCTCTTTGGAGAAGGACAGGCCAGTGTCACAATACCTCACTCCTAAGCCATAACAAGTATGATTGTGAAACTTGGAAGACGGCTTTGAGACTCATTAGATAGTACCAAAGCTACTATGTGTTCTCAGATTTTATAATATTTTATTAATCCCACATTAGGAGAGAATTATGTGCATTCTTTTAGAGGCACTTCTCTTAATGTTTAGAAAATTTTAGACTTCTTTCCTTCAAGTTGATGGTGAAAAGCTAGGATAAGCATTATTCTATTTTTCATTTAAGATTAATGTTGTATATTTGACTTCTCTTTATACAAATACTTAAAATTACTTTGAACACATTTTAGGCCAGTCTGCAAAATTAAAAGAATTTTAGAAATAAAAGTCCTTTATATGTATTCTCTATATTAAACTTTACTACAAATGTTAGTTTCTTGGTTTTTTCTTCTACTTTCACAAATCAAGAAATGAATAAATTAACCAGTATCAGTATTCTTTCATAGTTTAAAAGTAATATTCTACCACATTTTCAATATTCTTATTAAAAACAATCAACAAATTAGCTGCACCTAAACTTTTTTCTTCTCTTCAATCCCAAAGGATTTCTACTATTCCCTAAAATAATGAATCTCTGCTACTAAATCCTATAAGCGTAACAGCCCCAATTCATGAAGAATGACAGACACAAACTAGTAGGTTAATCATCATCAAGAAAAAGGAGGATCACACTCTTGCTGTCATGAAGCAGCTGAATGACCTTGGGCCAATCACCTGTGGTCTTCAAAGTAACCAGACTAGATGCTCCATAAAGGCTTCTAGTGCTCACATTTTAACCATATCAAGTGACCAGAGGTAAACTGGGACTTGCACCGGAAGGGTCTGTTGCTCAGGTATGGTGCTTTCATTTCTGCTCAACTTCTTGCTGTTATGGTTTAATTATGCATTAGTTATGGACAACACCAGCAGAAAACAGATTTGCTTTTTTAGACATAAATATGTGATGTGCTAGAAATTCTAAAATGCCTTCTGAACAATCAGTATTAGGATATACAAATTAAGATTCGTAGGCATAACACTCTGTGAAGCTCTGACCTACATCAGCCATACAGAAATTCAAGAGTACTACTGCAGAGTACAGGGGGGAACTGTGCAGCGCTCCAACCTTCCCTCACAAGCCACTCACACTGCCACACCGAACCTCCCTTCTCCTTGAGGAAGCAGCGTGAGGTAGTGGAAAGAATCTGGACTTTGGGGTCATACTTCTAGTTTTAACTCTTACATAACTTGGGGCAAAGTCATTCAACCTCTATCAAATTCCAGTTCTGCCATCTTCAAAAGAATAATACTCCTAATGCATCATGGGGGACCTCTACTAAAGACCACCTGGGAAAAACTGAAACTTTGGGACTTCTGACTCACCCTGGGCTTTGAGTTAACAGAAAAATCTGGCTAGCAGGTTAACTGTTTAAGACTCTCACAGTGTTTTTAAGGTGAAGTTCAACTGCTTATTTAAAATAAACCTGATTTATTATGGTTTACTAAAAACAATACTGAGTATTGTTTTAAAAAAGTAACTGAACTTACCTTAAGACCACTGTGAAAGCCTTGAAAATTTCTCATGCATTCATCAGCTGATATGCAGCTTGTTTTATAAAATTAGGTCAAGATTCTGGACTTTTTTCTGTAAATTAATAATAGCAGCTTAAATGAGACACACCACAACCATTAAGAAAAAATTATATACCGCAAATGTAAAATACCAGAAACAAATTTGGAAGTAATACGATCTTCTAGTTGGCAGAACAGCACACCTGAAAGTCTCCCAGGGTCTCCCTGCCTTCATCATCCCCTGACTATTCGTCCCATCTCATCTGCCTCTAACTTTTTCCATGGTAGAATGGGTAAGACTTTAGCATACAAATCAGGCTGCTTGACCAGGTTTAAATCCTGGCTCTACTACTCACTAACTACATCATCTGGGACAAATTACTTAACTTCTATCTGTGCCTGGGTTTCCTCATACATTAAAAAAAAAAAGCCAGATTAACCGTGTTAGCTTTAGTCTTACCTTCCTCATAAACTATGCCTTATAAACAATGCTGAAAGGTGAGTTTTCTAACACACACAAATCTATCTCCTATGCTAACCTGAAAAAAATCCAGAAGCCTCTGATCTTTTATCATTTCCCATCATCTCCCCATTCTACATACTCAAGGAATACTGGATTACGGTTCCTTAATCAGGAGCGTGAAGCATGTGTATATCCTGTTCTACTGCCATGTGGAATACAATGTTAGCTCCCCTAAACCTCCACCCACCCTTTCATTCTCCTGGCAAACTCATTTTTGCTTAGGTGCTGCCTCTTTTGCAAAAGATTCCTGACCCCTAAGCAGATTTAGGGCCTTTTCCTCCTCAGTTTCTCCTTGTGCTTTATTATAAATGACTTCATTTTACAGTTGAATGCATAAGTCTGCCTGTCTCTATCTTTGTGTGTTTCTTTCTCCCTACTACAATATAAGCTCCCTGAGATCAGGAACTATGTATTTCCACCATTGGCTCAGTGGTTGGCACATGGGTAGATGCTCAATAAGTAAGTGAATGTGTATAAAACCAACCTGTTAATGATTATATCTATTTTGTTAAATATCATTTTATAAGTTTAAATAACTCCTCTTAATATTCCTAAGGATAAGATATATCAAAAACTAAAACATCTGATTTCTGTAACAAACATTAGAGTGAAAAAGAGAAGTACTAGCAACGCATCTGAAAGTTAAGTATTAGGCCATAGCTACTGAAAATATATGGTCTATTTAAAACCTTTACGAGACTCACACCTGTAATCCCAGCACTTTGGGAGGCCAAGGTGGGCAGATTACTTGAGGTCAGGAGTTCGAGACCAGCCTGGCCAACATGGTGAAACCCTGTCTCTACTAAAAATACAAAAATTAGCCAAGCGTGGTGGTGCATGCCTGTAATCCTAGCTACTTGGGAGGCTGAAGGAGGAGAATCATTTGAATCCAGGAAGTGGAGGTTGCAGTGAGCTGAGATCACACCACTGCACTCCAGCCTGGGTCACAGAGTGAGGCTCCATCTGAAAACACAAAACAAAACAACAACAACAACAAAAAACCTTCAGGAGAAGAGGGGGTTATCAATTTGAAAGGAGGAACAGGCTACCTTCTGGGGGACTAAAAATGTTTTGTCAGGATGGTGATTAAAATACAAGCAGCTGTACCTTTAAGATTAATATATTTCACTGAACATACGTTGTTAACCTGAATTTAAAGAACCACATACATATCAAATATGCAGTATAGGACTCTGAATTCAAATTGTAACTACAGATTCAGTGTGACCATGGACAAGATATTTAACTTCTCAAGGTCTTGATTTGCTCACCTGTAAAATTAGGGTATTAGAAAAACCTCAGAGAATTACACTGAGCACAAGGTAAGCACTGTATATATTTTTTAATCAGTGGGAAGTAATCTTTTCCAACAGAGAAGTCTAATTTCTAGTATTTTTCTCTTTTCTTTCATGAAATGAATCATGAACACAGATTCTATGGCTGCACAAAAAGAAATGGTATATTTGAAAAATAAATTTATCATTAGAGCCTGAGTGATAAATCATCAGCCCACCATCATCTCTCAAGCCTTTGGATAAAGGCACTCCTTGATTACATCAGGGTGAGGTAAGTCCTTGGGATAGTTCTGGGGAAGGGGTGTGTGTTCCTCTTATTGATCCTCTGTCATGTTGGCCATGCATGCCATAGGCTACCAATCCCTCTATTAATGAATAAAAAGTGACAACAGTGCTAAGATTTCAGCTACACATCTTTCCGTTTGTAGAGTCGACAGCAGCTCCATACGCAGGAGGCTGCACGATAGGTCAAATGAACCTTGGTTACAGATGGGCAACTACAAGAAGGAACATAGTCAGTTCAGACAGTGCCAGGGCAGAGTCAAGAAGCATGAGTTTGGCATCTAATTCTGCCACTTAACAGGCAACTGTTCTCTTTGGGCCTAATTTTTCTCACTTGTAACACAAGGAAGCAAGTATAACAATGCTCACAAAAGACTATAAATCTGTAAGTAAACACTACATACTTATTTGTGTAGTCTTCTTTCTTTAAATCATCTTACAATTTTTCAGGATCCAGATGAAGGCTACTCTAGGTAAATGTAGTTCTGGATTCACAGAACATACCTTGAACCCCTTTAGCTTCCCCCATTCGTCAAAACTATTTTCGACATTAGTATATATATAAAAGAACCACTTCACAAATTCCCACAAAGGAGGCAAGTTGAAGCTCTATCTCTCTCTCTCTTTTTTTTTTTGACATGGAGTCAAAAAAAACTTGAACCTCCCAGGTTCAAGCAATTCTCCTGCCTCAGCCTCCCAAGTAGCTGGGATTACAGGTGCCTGCCACCACACCCAGCTAATTTTTGTATTTTTAGTAGAGACGGGGGTTTCACCATGTTGGCTGGGCTGGTCTCGAATTCCTGACCTTGTGATCCGCCTGCCTCCGCCTGCTGGGATTTCAGGCCTCAGCCACCACACCCGGCCTAAGTTAAAGCTCTCTTTTGAGGAAATTGCTTCTCCAGCATCCCTTTCAAGTAACAGATGTTTATTTTTGCATATCTCACCTCTTTCAGAGTTAGGTCTGTGTCCTTCTTATTCCCTGAAGCCTCTTCCAGACCATTACTTCCCCACCCTATTAAGCACCTTCACCCTGCTGAGGCCCAACATCATAAGGCTGTAATCTTCTCCTAACTCCTGCTTGCTGTCTGACATCAGGCTAGTCACTCCCCTCATTCATTGAAAGGTTTGGCACTTGGCTCAGTTTTCCTCTATACTCCCAGTACTGCCACCATCCTGGGTGACTTCATGTTAATAACCATCAAGTCCAGACTTTAAAACCTCATCTCTAATCAACCACTCCATCACTCTATCTCTACCTTGACATCTGAGACATGTCCCAGGCCTAGTTATCACTTACAACAGCTTTACTTCCAAAATCATCAAGCATCTCATTTTCTGACCATATCCTCCTGCCCCCCCAGTGTGTCCCATGACCATTCCCTGACCGCCTTGGAATCACCTGTGCACAGCTCCTCTTCTTCCTCCCAATTTATCAGCTCACTCTTTTTTGTTCCCACTTCCCTTTTCTTCCAGCTTAGATTCTTTAACCTATTATTTCAATTACACTCCTAGAATTGTCTTTTCCCTTTGTCTTGTTGTCATTTTGAACTAGCAAACCCCCAACCCAAACTAATTCAACTGTCTGATTTCTGTGCCTGGTCCTGAGCTGCCATCTAATACTGATGGTCAGTTCACCTTCTCATTCCCTGTAATGACTATTTCAAATGGATCCATTCACTTCTCAAACCTCTGACTTTTTAATTCTTAGCATTTTGTCTTCCTGTTTGACAAAAAAATAGACCCACCGGATGGGAACTTCTTGCTGTCAAACATAAACACCTACATCCATTGGCGCTACCTCTTCTCCCTTCCTGCTATAACTCTGCCTCTCCCCTTAGCAAGGTCAACCCCTCCACTGGCCTTTGTATCACACCCCTCCCATCTTCTCAGTCACCTGTCATCATCATTTATTTTTTTTTTTTTCTCTCTTCTAGAGTCACCTCTTCTAGGAAAGCACTTGGATTCTTCCAGTCAGCAGTTAAATAAATTCAAGTCTTAGAGAAAAAAAAAAAAAAAAAAAAACTTCATTCCAACTTCTATTCCTCTCCTCTCTCCTGACACCTGTCACCTTTCCACCCTTCACCTCTTCTTCACCACCAGACTTCCTGAAAGAACAGCATATATTTGCTGTCTCCAGCTCCTCACCTTCCACTTACTCCTCAACCTACTCCCTTCTACTCTCCTCAGTTCAATGAAAGAGCTCTCATCAGGGTCACCAATAACATTCTTGCTCCTAAATCTTGTAGACTTTTCAGTTCACAGTTTGCTTTTACTGCTGCTAAGTGCTCGCTTTGTTTTGAAACACTCTTTCTTTCCTTCGGTTCGGGCAATTCTACATTTTTCAGGTTTCTCCTGAACACCTTACTGGCTACTCCTTTTCAGTCTCCCCGTACGCTCAGCTGTCGTCTGCTAAAGGATCAGTACCAAGCCACTTTCTCTGCTCACTCCATGTTCTTATTCTAGGCAAATGCTCTGAATGTTACCTGTTCACAAATGACACCCAACTTTTTAACCAAGCCAGTCGCTTCCTCTGAGCTACCTACCCACATACTCAACTGCCTACCTGTCATCACCTCAGGTATTTCAAAAGCACTTCAAACCCAGTTTATCCAAATGTGTACTCGAGGGCTATACCTGCCCACACTTGGTATTATTCTATTGTTTCCTCTATCAATGAAGGACACCGTCTCTTTTTGTGAGCCAGAAATTCAGCAATTATGCTTCAAATGTCTTTCTCCTTCATCTGCCCACATCCAATCCACCAGCAGGAACCGGTAAATTTACCTCCTAAACATGTCTGGGATGCATCTGCTTCTCTTTATTTCCATTGCCACCACTTTCGTACAAACCATCATCGCCTCACAGTAAGCTTTACCGAAATAAATCTCACGACAAGTTTATCTGTCAATATAGTCGTTTCAAACTACAAGTCTGATATTGTTACCTCTCTAAGATACCTCAAGGGGCATTTTAAGATAAGGGCCAACAATTATAACAAGGCCTATAAAGTGCTCCTGCATTTGATCTCTGACTCACATTGACCCACCAAGGTCTTCACTTAACTTTCTCCTTCTCACTCAGTGTACCCCAGCCAAAATGCCCTCCTTTGTTCTTGCTATGTTCATTCTCACAGAAGGGCTTTGCATATGCTGTTCTCCTTGCCTTGGACTCACTCGCCCACTCTATGTCTACCTAGCTAATACATCTCCATTTTTTTTTTAGAGCATAGCTCACCTGCCTCTCCCTCAGATAAGACTTCTTTGATCTCCCAGACTGGGACATTTTTCCCTGACAAACCCTACTCCTAAACCAAGCAACTACCTTCTTTCTTGAGCCTGGATCTCAGCTGCCAACTGTGGCTGAAGGAAGTCACCAATGTGTTCTATCATCCTAAGTGCACCCTTCAAAAAAACTCCCAGCATCCTTTTACAAGCAGCTGTAGCACTCACTATATGCGCCTCTACTTCATGGCACTGACCACGGTTCTAATTTAACACTTACCTTTGTGACAGCTGCCTGGTGCCTGCCTCCTCCATTTTATATCAGAAGCTCCATGAAGACGGTCTGCTTTCTCCTCAACAATGGATCCCTAGTGCTTAGCCCAGTGCCTGCCAAAGACCTGGCTCTCAAAATGTTTCTCTCAAATGGAGTTGAAAAATTCTTTTTTTTTTGGCCTACCTTTCCCAATGGAGTCTAAAAATTCCTTAAAGCGCCTTACCTTGTAAATCTTCCATCAGTTCAAACATTCCAGGATAGTTAACTTGAATTTCATCAGTGTCCTATTTAAAAAGACAAAGGAATATTCATTTGACATTTGTCATACAAAATTCTAGATTTACAAAGGGTTGCAGAGATTACCCAGACCAATCTCCCACGCTACATAAAAAATCTTTACGATATTCTTCATAGATGTCATCTGGTTTATGCTTGATTTATGAAAGTCTCTAATTGCTGATTAAATACCCTCCAGTATGAGAGAAATCGTCCCAAAATTCCACCATCGGTTCTGGTTCTCTCCTTGGGAACCACACAGAATAAGAGATTAAGAGTATTCTGTACCCTACAAACCATTGCCCTCTTCTCCAAGTCTTTGAAAACCTTCAGGACACCAAAATCTATAGATCCTTACATGTTCTGACTATATGTCCCTGGACAGTGTCAATATCAATCTTTCCTAAAATGAGGCACCTAGAATCAAAATATTTCATCTAGTAATGCAGCTAATAGGCTTGTTTGGGAAATGAGCACATTGCTGGTACATGTGGAGTTTGTTTCTCAGATGAAAAATTGAGCAATGACTTCCTCTTCTTTCTGAAGCCTGATACAGGACTTCACTGGTGGTACAGTGGCAGAGACCATGGATGCTCTCCAAATATCCAGGTGCTCCTTGACACTTCCCAGTCTCAAACACATATTTCTTTTTTTTTTTTTTTTTTATTGCATTTTAGGTTTTGGGGTACATGTGAAGAACATTGCAAGATTGTTGCATAGGTACACACGTGGCAGTGTGATTTGCTGCCTTCCTCCCCTTCACCTATATCTGGCATTTCTCCCCATGCTATCTCTCCCCAACTCCCCATCCCCTGCTATCCCTCCCCTATTTCCCCCAACAGACCCCAGTGTCTGATGCTCCCCTCCATGTGTCCAAATGTTCTCATTGTTCAACACCCGCCTATGAGTGAGAACATGCGGTGTTTGATTTTCTGCTCTTGTGCCAGTTTGCTGAGAATGATGGTTTCCACGTTCATCCATGTCCCTACAAAGGACACGAACTCATTGTTTTTGATGGCTGCATAATATTCCATGGTGTATATGTGCCACATTTTCCCTGTCCAGTCTATCATCAGTGGGCATTTGGGTTGGTTACAGGTCTTTGCTATTGCAAACTGTCAAACACATATTTCTTTTGGCCAAAGAAAGGAGAGGTAAGACGATTAAGAGCTAGAGCCTTTTCCAGGCCATCTCTTTTGCTGTGGTGACCTTACAGAACACAAGACCAGATGGCACAGCTATTAGACGGAGATGGGCTCTCCCACCAGCATGCCGCTGTGTGATGTGATAAAATTTTATTGTGTTAGGCACTAAAACTAAAAGTAGGAGTTTGTTCTGACTGGAAACTAGCCTAAAATAAATCTTTTTTTTTTTTTTTTTTTTTTTTTTTGAGACTGTCTTGCTCTGTTGCCCAGGCTGGAATGCAGTAAGGTGATCTCGGCTCATTGCAGCCTCCGCCTCCTGGATTCAAGCACTTCTTGTGCCTGAGCCTCCCCAGTAGCTGAGATTACAGGCACACACCATCACATCCAGCTAATTTTTGTATTTTGAGTAGAGATGGGGTTTTGCCATGCTGGCCAAGCTGATCTTGAACTCCTGACCTCAAGTGGTCTGCCCACCTTGGCCTCCCAAAGTGCTGGAATTCCAAGCATGAGCCATGATGCCAGGCAGGAAACTAACCTAAAATAAATCTAAATATCATTAATAGAGGACTGGTTAAACAAATTAAAAAATATGTACTCTATAAGATACTGTACAGTTCTTAAACAGTAAGGTAGATACATGTTTGTAGGAAAAAATCTCCAAGATATGTTACTGAAAAAAAAAAAAAAAAAAAAGACAAAAGTGCATGTAATATTGTGTAAGTGGGTTTAAATGACATAACTGTATTCTATGGGTCTATGAAAAAAATTGTTCTGAAAGGATATCTAAGACACAGCTAACAAATCTTTGGGGAAAGGGACCAGGGTATTAGAAGTCAGGAGAAGGGCTGGGCATGATGGCTCATGCCTGTAATCCCAGCACTTTGGGAAGCCGAGTTGGGCGGATCACCTCAGGTCAGGAGTTTTGAGACCAGCTTGGCCAACATGGCAAAACCCTGTCTTTACTAAAAATATAAAAATTAGCTGGGTGTGATAGCGCACACCTCTAGTTCCAGCTACTTGGGAGGCTGAGGCATGAGAATCACTTGAAGTTGGGAGGTGGACGTTGCAATAAGCAGAGATCTCACCATTGCACTGTAGCCTGGGCAACAGAGTGAGATCCTCTCTCAAAAAAAAAAAAAAAAAAAAAAAAAAGAAAGAAAGAAGGAAAAAGAAATCAGAAGGAGGAGACTTTGTTTCACTTTACACCTCACTCTGTATCATTCTTTCTCTGCATGTATTTTATTCTTTCTTTTTTTAAAAAAACATATACATGTATCAGGTTGTATATGCGTTTAATGAGACCTCTGGGTGGTGAGACCATGAACATTTCATCTATATGCTTTTCTATATTAACAGCTATTTTTAAAAAAAGATCCTAAGATTAAAAACAAAATTCCTTCCAGGCTGTTATCTAGACATTAAGCAATATTCTTTGAAAACAGTTCTTCAATAAGACCAACTAAATGCACTATCTCCACCTCAATCAAAAGAATGCCACAATAGCTGTGTTGAAGGCCTTATTCTAATTAAGGGGGACCATATTTGTACCATTCTTTTAAAGTACTAGTCTGGTAGTTTAATTCTAAAAGGAAAACAGCTTTATCCGAATGCCAATTCTCTGAAATTAATTCATTAATATGAAAATACAACATTAAGATGTAAATACAACTATATGACAATAATTTGACATGATTTCACTTTAAAAATAAAAATCCATTGTAGCATAAAAGTAATATATCTAATGTATGCAACATAAACCTGTATAGCTGATTATATAAAAGATTTTTTGGATGGAAATTTTTAGAAAATGAATTAGAACATTTTTTTTTTTGAGACAGGATCTTGCTGTCACCCAGGCTGATGTGTAGTGGTGAGATCATGGCTCACTACAGCCTCAATCTCTCAGGCTCAATCCTCCCACCTCAGCCTCTCGAGTAGCTGGGACTACAGGAATACTCAGCTAATTTTTAAATTTTTTTTGTAGAGATGGGGTCTCCCTATGTTGCCCAGGGTGGTCTTGAAACCTTGGGCTGAAGTGATTCTCCCACCTAGGCCTCCCAAAGTTCTGGGATTACAGGAGTGAACTCTGCCTGGCCAGCACACAATATTAATACAGCACTTCAGAAACAAATATATGCCTCAAAGCATAAATTAATAATTCAAGAACACATTCTTAAAACTTTATTAAATCACCAACTCTCTAATTTTATAAGCTAAAGAAGATTCTATACTAATATCTTTGTATTATATTAAAATTTGAGTCATTAGGCTCATTTTTAGAGACTATGGATAGTATATTGAATTAGATTTTCCAAATAATAGAAATGTACACTTTTAAACGTTTTAACATGACGCTAAACATTTTTAGTAGAAATCTTTCTAAAATTCATTCTTTATAACCATAGAAAACCATTTGTAGTTCACACAATTTAACTTTCTTCTGGCGATCAGCAGAAATCCCACGTTTTTCCTAATGGGCAATAACTTTTGAGTCCCCTAATATTGCCGACTAACCCGTATGGCCTCGTATAAATTTTTTAACATCACCTCATGAAAATATGCACCACACCTCTCCACACCATCCCAGCCCTACACTGCTTCTATACTTTTTAGAGGCTTTACATTCCCAGAGATTCTTTTTTCATCTCAATAATAGGTTGGTGACACAGCAATATAGGAGACAATTCTCAAGAGGGTAGACTATAACGGAAATTTTTCCCATGTTATAAGTAAAATAAATATTATTGATAAAAACTTTCAATAGGCTGGGTGCAGTGGCTCACACCTGTAATCCCAGCACTTTGGGAGGCCAAGGTGGGTGGATCACCTGAGGTCAGGAGTTCAAGACCAACCTGGCCAACATGGTGAAATCCTGTCTCTACTAAAAATGCAAAAAAATAGCTGGGTGTGGTGGCACGTGCCTGTAATCCCAGCTAGTTGGGAGGCTGAGGCAGGAGAATTGCTTGAACCCGGGAGGTGAAGGTTGCAGGGAGGCAGACGTTGCAGTGAGCTGAGATCGCGCCACTGTACTCCATCTTCGGCAACAGAGCAAGACTCTGTCTCAAACAAACAAACAAACAAAAAAGACTTTAAATCACTGGTTCCTAATCTATTTTTAGTTATATTGGATCTCTCAAGATCTGGTAAAAATCATGGGCACTTTCCTCTACTTACAAACAACAACAACACAAATTTTGTGTACAACATCCCAGTGCTATTGAAACCTCTAAAGTTTACTGACAGGCCTGCAATGAGCCCAAAAACATCAGACAGGGATTTCTGTTTTGTTCACTGCTATATTTGAAGTACCTAGGATAGTGCCTGATACATAGAAGGTACATACTCAGTAAATGTTTAGTGCAAGACTGAGTAAATAAATGAATTTGTGTAGAAGGATATTCACTACAGCATTGCTCCTACTGGCAAAAAAATCAGAACTAACCTAAAGGTTACTCATAGGGAAATAGTTAAGTAAAACTGTGGTACATTCATACTGGTAAATAATATGTGGAAATTAAAGAGTGCAAATATTTCCATACCGACTTAGAAAACTCTCTAAAATATACTGTTAAAAATAAAACAATTTCGGAAATGTATGAATACATATGAATGTCTATATAAAGTAAAGTAGTTCTTGTTAAAAAAGAAAATCTGGAAGGTTACACACTAAACTGATAATAGTAGCAACCTCTAGGGCAGCAGTTCTCCAGGTGTGGTTTGGAGAGTCCTGGGGTCCCTAGGATGTTTTTGGGGTCCACTAAGTCAAAATTATTTTCATAATAATACTAAGATATTATTTGGCTTTCTACCTCTTATTCTACAATGGGCTATTTTAGAAGTGACATGACATGACACGTCGTATAGCAAGAGACTTGAATGTAGAAGCAGACATGAGAATGTAGCTCTCTTACTAAGGTACAAATTAACTGGTAAAAATGTGAAGCAATGCCATTCTTCCCTTTCAATTATTTTTGTTTTAGAAAATATGGCCAGGCGCGGTAGCTTGCACCTATAATCCCAGCACTTTGGGAGGCTGAGGTGGGTGGATCACTTGAGGTCAGGAATTCGAGACCAGACTGGCCAACATGGCGAAACTCCATCTCTACTAAAAATACAAAAATTGCCAGGCCCAGTGGCGCGTGCCTGTAGTCCCAGCTACTCGGGAGGCTGAGGTGGGAGGATTGCTTGAGCCCAGGAGTTCTGGGCTGTAGTGCGCTATGCCAATCGTTGTCCACACTAAGTTCGGCATCAATATGGTGACCTCCCAGGAGCGGGGGACCACCAGGTTGCCTAAGGAGGGGTGAACCGGCCCAGGTCGGAAACGGAGCAGGTCAAAACTCCTGTGCTGATCAGTAGTGAGATCGCGCCAGTGAATAGCCACTGCACTCCAGCCTGGGCAACATAGCAAGATCCCATCTCTAAAAAAAAAAAAAATTAACAGGGCATGGTGGTGCATGCCTGTAATCTCAGCTACTCAGGAGGCTGAGGCAGGGGAATTGCTTGAACCTGGGAAGTGGTGGTTGCAGTGAGTTGAGATCATGCTCCTGCACTGCAGCCTGGGTAGCAGAACAAGACTCTGTCTCAAAAAAAAAGGAAAAGAAAATATTGTTCTTTTTCATTAAAAAACATCATGTTAACAGGTAATAGGTAAATTATTGTTAACTTTAAATGAATACTAAAACAAATTCAGTTTAATGTCTAATAGTTAATATTGACAGATGTTAACTCACTAAACAAAAGCCTTTTAAAAGTTTCTCAATAATTTTTCAGTGTGTACTGGTGTCCTGAGACAAAAATTTTGAGAGCTTTTATGCTCAAGAGAGAGTTAAGCATTTTTAGGATTAAGAGGGAATGACAGACTTTTGCTTTATCTGTATAGTTTAATATTTATAACCAAAATATATTTGTGTGTTACTTATATAATTACAAATATAAATACAATGATCCTTCAATGTACAATTGTCTGTATTAACAATGTTTATTTTCATTACAAAGTAGAGCACTCATGTGAAGCAGTTTTCTGATTTCCAGCTGCAACCTCTCAGAATGCAGTTTCTATGGACTAAGGCTACTTAAAAGTTAATAAAAGGTCAATCCTAGACACAGCTATGAAACCTTCAGGGTTCTCTTCAGGCCCCAGCTTAGTTCTCCAGCCTATTAATTCTTCCCTTCCCTGGAGGCACCTTTCCAACATCAGGGCCTCTGCTTGTCCATGCCCCTTGCTTTCTACCAAAACAAGGAAGGATCTGACACAATCTATTTTTGGTTGGTTGATTTCATGAAATATATTCATACAAAATCATGCCAAACAGCTTTTTAACATTTAAGCTTATCATCTCTAATTACGTAGTGAGATGCTTTCTTCATCAAGAAATTCCTATTTCCACTGATCAGGGTTAGGGATGTTTCTAGGCCTGAGGGGTTTGGGAATTCACGGTAAGTCTACTGGACTGATCTCTGAAGAGAGGAATGACACTCTGTAGAATGACTGTTAGTGGAGGGAAGAGGAAGAGGGCAATCATTCTCTACAGATGGCTGTCTCTTGGAAGCCTAGTTCTAGAAAATGCTAGGAGCAGAGGGATGGGGAAAGAAGAAGGCAGAAGCAATGTAAGCTGGGCATCTACCTCGGTCCTGGTACTTTACACCCTTGATCGCTTTAAATATTTATAGCCACCTGAGGTGAGTAATATTTGCATTTTTAAAAGAAGTAAGTGCTTAAAAAGGTAAGTAAATTACTCAAATTTCCCTGTCTAGTAAAGAGACAGGAAGGATCCAAGTTACTCCTGTTGGACACCAATGTCCTACTGTCCTACCCTGTCACTGTACCATGCTGACTTCTTAGATATTACTCACTGACTGCCTAGGGCTCTTTCGAGCTTTCTCCAGCCTTAATTGGAGTACAGCACCCTGTCCTACCTTCTCTAGCCTTGATTTCACCCTAGGCTTGAGAACATACCTTCTCTCCTTTCTGCTTCATATGGCACTGTTTGGGGGTAGTTGTTGGTAGTAATACTACAGGCTCCCCTATGTATCCCCTTTTCTTCCTATAATATGGAATACTCTAAGGCCCTTTTTACACCTAACACTGGATTTGAAGATTCTGATGGAGTTGTATGTTTAGAAACTTCCCTTCTTATTAACTATGATACATTTTTTGAGCTACTTTTTTAGATAACAGTAAAAAATTATACATTTCTACCTTGTATCAATTAAGATGTGTTATACCAACTAAACATTGTCAATCAGAGCTTTTCCATTAAAAAAAGAAAAAAAAAGGAGAGAAACAGTGCCATAAAACCATGAACACATATAGTTTTCTATCTTTAAAATGAAAAGAAGTTATTTTTGAACTATGTAAGTAATGGGCAGCTTGATTAACTTGATAGTTACCACAGTCAGAGTATTAAAGCCAGCTCTCCCAAGCAGATGTCCTAGGTCATTGACAGCAGTGAAAGGAGAAATGTGTGGAGAAAATCCTCCTTCCCTTTCCGTCTCTGCTAACTGTAAGGAACACCGAAGTTCATAGAGTGTGTCACCTCCAAACATGGCACCAATAAATACTCCATCTGGTTTTAAAACATAATGAATCTGTAATAAATACGATAACATGATTCAAAATTGTACACATATAAATGTTAAAAATATATAGTGTCTAATCAACATTTTATGATTACCATTCTTATTCTGCCAAATTAATAATCAGATAATTTAATAAATAACATCCAATGCAACCAGCTGTCAGAAAATCATGATGCATACATAATATAGTTGGAAAGACAACTATAAATTCACTAATAATATTAATGCCTACAAAAATGTTGTATGTTTTCAGGTTTTCTAATCGGTACAACTTAGTTTTATAATCAGAAAAATACTGAAAGAAAAAAATTTTAATTGGGATAGGCTGCAAAAATCACAAACAGGCCTGTATCTATGGCCTCTGAAATGTCATTTTCTAACAAGTTTCATCAAGATAGGGAGTCTATTACCCCTCTCCTTGAATCTTGGCTGGCCTTGTGACTTGCTTTGGCCAAAAGAATGCAGTGGAAGTGACAGTGTGCCAGTTCCAAGTTTAGGTCTCAAATGTGTTGCATGCTTCCACCTGCTCTCTTGGAGCCCAGCCCAGCCACGATGTGAGAATAAGTCTGAGCTAGCCTAGCGGAGGAGGAGAGATGTGGAGCAGAGATTAGCCAGCTGTGCGCGCCGAGGCCCTCCAAACTAGCCAGCTCCCAGACAATCTGGCAGCTGATCACAGACACATGGATGAGCCAAGCCAGACCCAGATTTCGTAACCAAATCCAGCCCCAACTGCCAACCCACAAAATCGTAAGCTACATAGTTGTTAGAAGCCATCAAGTTAGGGTGCCTTATTATGTAGAAAAAGCTACAGAGAAATCATTATGATTCACAGCGTTAACCTAGTAACACATTCGTTTTCTTTTGAAAGAAGTAATTTATTTTCCAGCTTTAAAACAAAACCAAGTTTTAACTGGTAAGTTAAGAAAAATAATGGCCGGAGTGAATTCCAGAATCACAAGTTTTGCTTACTCTCTTAGACTACAAGCTGTAACTAAACTCTGACTATTCTCAGCTATGAGGACCACTGTAGGAAAAGGTAGATTCTGAAGGAAACCAGAATCCAAATCACAGTAGGCTCTTCTAATAAAAGCACTGTCTTAAATTTATATTTGATATATCATGAAGCAATTAAAAGCATTATTACGTAAATAATTTGTAAAACCTTCGGTTCCTTCCCTTCTTCACCTTTTGTGTTACTTCCTCTTCATGTTATCAGACTCTACTAAACCAAGTACGTAAGACTTAGTCCTCAGCAGTCTGCAGCCCTCATCTTCCTCAGATGGCTTACCAACTCCCGTCATTTCACAATGACCACTTTCCAATCTCTATGTTCAGCTTGGCCATCTTCCCAGAAGTCTAAAATCATCTTCAACTCCCTATTCCCTGGACATTTGTCTCTCAGCATACTTACCACCCCCTGCTCCCTCCAGCCCCCACAAGGAAAACACATATTTATCAAATCAGTTCCCCTCTCCAACTGCCATATTTCTATTACCATTTCCTAGTCCCCTTATCTGATCATTAACATTCTTTCCCCTACTTTGACTAATCTAGACTCAAAACTTTAAAGTGAGCTTTGGCTCCTCCCTTTGGTCTTTAGATCTAACCAGCCACCAAACTGTTGATTTTTTCTTTGTGGAGTCCTAATTACTCTTCCTTTTAACTCCTACCATTACCACCTAGGTTTAGTTTATCTCATGCTTGGACCACTGAAACAGTCTCCCTTCAATTTAAACTTCTCCAGGAATCAGTTTCTTTTCTTTTTTTTGAGAAGGAGTCTCTGTCGCCCAGGCTGGAGTGCCATGGTGCCATCTCAGCTCACTGCAGCCTCCGCCTCCTGGGTTCAAGAGATTCTCCTGCCTCAGCCTCCCTAGTAGCTGGGAGGCTGCCACAAGCACCTCCCTGCCACGATCCCTGGCTAATTTTTGTATTTTTAGTAGAGGCAGGGTTTCACCGTGTTGGCCAGGCTGGTCTTAAACTCCTGACCTCAAGTGATCTACCCCTCTTGGGCTCCCAAACTGATGGGATTACATGTATGAGCCACTGCACCTGGCCCAGGCATCAGTTTCTAATCAGCAAAATAAATACATCTCGCAGAGCTATTTAACACAAATGTAAAACAGAGCACAATAACTGGAAACTAGAAAATCGTATGTGTTCAGATATGGCCATTATTATTTTGCCCACCAGCTTTGTAATTATGTCATTTTCCTCTTCAAAGTTCTCCAGTGGCTCTGAATTGCATCAACCCCAAATTCCTTAACCTGACACTCAAGTACCTCCTAAATCCTGTCCCAATACATCACACCTCATTTCCCAGCACTATACTAGTCCCCCAAACAGGTTTCCTCTTTGTTCCTTCATGCTGATGAGGCTCTTGTACCTCTCCACCTATTCTGTGATTCTGCCTTCTTAGAATGCCTTCCCGATCAAGTCTTACCTACCCCTAAGGCCTTGTTCAAGTACTTTCCTCTTGAAGCTTTTCTAGGCCACTTCACGCCACAGTAATCTTGTTCTCTCCTTTGAACACATACTTTTTACCTACCTCTCACCTATTTATTGATAAGTGTCACAATAAAAATTTACCTAGCACTCTCTGAGTATAAGACATGGGGAAAATATACATATAAATAAGTAGGTTCCTACTCACAAAAAGTTTATAGGCAATTAAGGGCTAGAAGAAATCTACACAGAAAATGTCTTATGATATCAACATTATCTTGCACAGTTCCTAAGCTTTTCATAAATATTTAAAACTTATCTCTACAATTAGATTTCTTAAATTCTGAGGGAAAGGAGAGTTGCCCAATGTACTACTAATATATCAAGTGGCACCAGGTGATTACACTGATTCCATTCTCCAACTGTCAGCCCTACAAGTAAATAGTTTGTGAAATCTGAAACATCTGTAGGTTTCTAACAATAAAGAAAATAATACAGGATAGTTGAATGAACGTAAGTTTTCTTACCTGCTCAAGTGCTCTAGGAAGGTCATTCACCCAGTGCAAACTAAAATAAGAGAATATAGATTTGTTTTAGCTTAATTGGCACAATTAATTAGTAAAATTATCACCAGTATAACCCATAAAAAGGTGTTAAACTTCAAATTTTGAAATTGCCTATCAAAATCCACTAACTATATTCATACACATTTCAAAATTATAAATATTCCTAGAGGGCCAGGTATGGTGGCTCACGCCTATAATCCTAGCACTTTGGGAATCCAAGGCAGATGGATCACCTGAGGTCAGCAGTTCGAGACCAGCCTGGCCCATATAGCAAAACCCCATCTCTACTAAAAATACAAAAATTAGCTGGACGTGGTGGCTTATGCCTGTAACCCTAGCACTTTGGGAAGCCAAGTCGGGTGGATCACTTGATGTCAGGAGTTCAAGACCAGCCATGTTGAAACCCCGTCTCTACTAAAAATACAAAAATTAGCCAGGTGTGATGGCACTTGCCTGTAATCCCAGCTACTTAGCAGGCTGAGGAAGGAGAATCACTTGAACCCAGGAGGTGGAGGTTGCAGTGAGCTGAGATCACACCACTGTACTCCAGCCTACACAACAGGAGTGAGACTCCATCTCAAAATTAATTAATTAATTAATTAATTAATTTAAAAAGTAAATAAATATTCCTAGCGGAAAACCTTCCTTGTGTCACACCAGAAAATTCCCCATGTCAATATATCACTTTGCTTAAGTAAAAGAATCTAGTATGATTATTTTCTAATTCTTCATCACTGAATTATGTAAAAGTCATTTGTACTTAGGCATTTTATCTAAACAGTATTATTCTGAGACCTTATTTGTAAAAAGTAGTAAAAATGCTCAAAGCATATCAGTTAAATCAATTAAGCTACAGAAATATAGTATTATTCCAAGCCAGATTTTCTTAGAAAAAAGAATTATTTGCAGACCTAAATTTTCTCAAGGCAAATAGCATAATTCATCAAAAGCTTGATTCTGTGAGTTTTCCAATTAACATCTCCTTTTTTAAAAAGTCGATTTTTAAGACTTTATTTTTAATTATATTTGAGAGCAGTTTTAGGTTTACAGCAAAATTAAGAGGAAGGCACAGAGATTTTTTTACATCCTCCTATTCCCGCACATGCATGGCCTCCCCTATTATCAGTATCTCCAGAGTGTACATTTGTTACAACCGATGAACCAAACTGACATGTCATTTCCCCCAAGTCCGTAATTTACATTAAGGTTCACTCTTGGTGGTGTATATTCTAAGGGTTTGGACAAATATATAATGTCATATATCCTATATTATAACAGTATCATAGAGTAGCTTTACTGCCCTAAATATCCTCTGTGCTCCACCTATTTATCCTTCCCACATACCACCCCTGGCAATCACCAATCTTTTTACTGTCTCCAGAGTTTACTTTTTCGGAATATCACAGTTGGAATTACACACCGTATAGCCTTTCAGATTAGCTTCTGTCATTCAGTAATATGCATTTAAGTTTTCTCCATATCTTTTAATGGCTTGACAATTTCTTTTTAGTGCTGAATATTCTGTTGTTTGGATATAACAAAGTTTATCCATTCACCTAATGAAGGATATCTTGGCTGCTTCCAAGTTTTGGCAATTATGAATACAGCTGCTATAAACATTTGTGTGCAGGTTTTTGCATAAACATAAGTTTTCATCTCTTTTGGGTAAACAACAAGGAGCTGGATTGTATGGTAAGAGTATGTTTAGTTTTGTAGGAAACCACTGAACTATCTTGCAAAGTGCCTGTACTATTTTGCATTCCCACCAGTAATGAACTCCACATCCTTACCACCATTTATTACTGTTGTCAGTGTCCTGGATTTTGGCCATTCTAGTAGGTATGTGGTACATCCATTTTTTTTTTTTAAGGTAGTGAAAATAAACAAAAACCAGAGCTATATATACTGAAATTTAATAAATCTCTTGAATATTCTTTCTTTTTTTTTCGAGATGGAGTCTTGCTCTGTTGTCCAGGCTGAAGTGCAGTGGCACAATCTCGGCTCACTGCAACCTCTGCCTCCTAGGTTCAAGCAATTCTCATGCCTCAGCCTCTGGAGCAGCTGGAATTACAGGTACATGCCATGACACCTCGCTAATTTTTGTAGTTTTAGTAGAGACAGTGTTTCACCATGTTGCCCAGGTTGATCTCAAACTCCTGGCCTCAAGCGATCTGCCCACCTTGGCCTCCCAAAGTACCAGGATTACAGGCATAAGCCATTGCGCCTAGCCCTTGAATTTTCTTTTGATTCTACTCTTACTTACAGTGTAGTCATGTGTGACAGTAAAAGTCATATTCTCAGTCTCTGCAGAGTATGGTCACACTTTCCTGTAGAACTGCATCCCCTTATGCTGAGTTCCGGGATAGAACTGAATGCCCATTTCAAACCATACTGTGTTAAGCTCGTATTTATCGTTCTTAAGGCTTTCAACAAGTATTAGATACTTTAAAAACTAAGGAGATCATATTATAGTTCTGTCATACTTATGGGAAAACTGAAAGTAACATAATTAGTCACCTGCAAATAGCAAGCAGATGAGCTAACATAAAAACTCAGGTTCAAAACCTTTATGACATAAATGATCTATTTATAACATATGGTTTTTAAAAAGTGGATTACCAACCTTAAACTGCTAACCACCAGGTCAAATGTGTTTTCTCTGAAGGGAAGGGATTCTTCATCAACTAAAACGCTGACAGTAGGAATTTCTGTTTCTAAGGAATTTTTCTAACAGTAAAAAAACAAAAGATCAAAACCACATTTATGTAGACTCTCAATTAATAATAACACAATCACTGTTAAATTGAAGTCAATGATCTATTTACTTGGCAGTTTCTATCCGACTTCCCAAAGGTGGCACAGAGAAGGCACCCAAAAAGCATTTCTTAAATGACTTAACATCAGCCAGAAAAAAACGGCTAACTAGTTGAAACAATATAAACAGGATACCCACCTCACACCAAACAAATTTCAGAAGGCCGAAAGTTTGGCTGGGCATGGTGACTCACTCCTATAATCCCAGCACTTTGGGAAGCCAAGGCGGGCAGATCACTGAAGATCAGGAATTCAAGACCAGCCTCGCCAACATAATGAAACCCCATCTCAAATAAAAATACAAAAATTAGCTGGTTGTGGTGGCATGCACCTGCAATCTCAGCTACTCAGGAGGCTGAGACAGGAGAATCACTTGAACCTGGGAGGCAGAGGTGAGCCAAGATTGTGTCACCATGTTCCAGCCTGGGTGACAGAGCAAGACTCTGTCTCAGAAAAAAAAAAAAAAAGAAAAGAAAAAAAAAGAAGGCTGAAAGTTTTAGTTAAGTAACTGAAGTACTAGATAAAATATGGGTGGACAGGACATTATTTTACCCTTCGATGAAAAAGCCTAGGTAAACATAGCAGCCAGAAACTGGAAAGGAAAAGACTGATATATTTGATGATAAACTAATTAAAAAAATTTTTTTTTTTTTTTTTTAAGATGGGGTTTCACCGTGTTGGTCAGGCTGGTCTTGAACTCCTGACCTCAGGTGATCCATCTGCCTTGGCCTCCAAAGTGCTTGGATTACAGGCGTAAGCCACCATGCTCGGCCAAAAATTTCTATTAATACAAAACAATAAACAATGTAAACAACTGAGGAAAATATTTACAACATATATAATGAAGGATTAATATCCCTAAAAACCAAGCTCTTACAAATCACCTAGAATAAGAACACATGACAGCTAAAGTAGATGAAGGACAAGGTGCAGCCATGTCACAAAATTATTTACAAAATTCAAAAGAAATACCAATAGTCAAAAGACATTGGTAGCTGTCAGATTGACGAAGACAAAAAGACTGGCCCAGTGTTGCCAAAGCAAAGGAGTAAAAAGTACCTTTTTCATCGTCCAAACTTTCTAAGGACAGTTTGAAGATGTATGTCAAAAATTTTTAAATGAACATCAAAATGAATCCATAAATTCTGCCTCCAGGACTTTATACCCAGGGAAAAACTAAATCAAACATATAAAGTTGTTTCACATAAGGATGTCCACTGCAGTGTTGATTATTAAGAAACTAGAAATGTAACTGCCTTTCAATAGAAAGTTTAGCTAAATAAACTATGAAGTATTCATATATTAGAATACCATGTAGCCATTTAAAAAGATGATATATGACATATCTGTACAAATTCACTGACAAAAAAATGACGTGCTGTAAATAACATGGAATATTAGCATAGTAATGGTCATAAACAATTGTGTGTGGAGGTGGGGACAGTTATGTCACAAATACAGAGAAATGGTTGCCTCTGAATGGTGGGACTAGAGGTGATTTTTCCTTTGTCCTTGCTATTTCCTGTATTAGTTCCTTTTTATGTGTCAGAAAAGAAAGCTAGTTTGAAGAAAATAAAAATGAAGAAATAAAGTACGAAGAAACAAATCATGAGATTAGAAACCAAAAGTGTTAAAAAGCTACCTACCAAAGCATTTTCTGCAATGTCGGCTTGGAAAAACTTTCCAACAGTTTCCTGAAATGGAATAACTAAAGCTGAAACAAGCAAATCCAGTAACAAACAATTGCTTTACATTTCTAAAGGTAAAAGTATTAATTATAATTAATTACACTTATAAATATTAATAATAAGTATTTATATTTTATAATTTTATATTTATAATTAATTATAATTTTCAGCTTTGTAAGGGTATTTTTCACATAAAACCAGTATGGTACACAAATACTTTTCGTAACACATATCTTTTGCTATATTTAATTATATGTAATAAAATAGAGAACATGAATATGCAGATTCAACATCCTGAATTCACTAAACTAGGAGAGGGCTTCTGTATTAACTTTTACATTGCATAACATGCTAAGAGCCAGTTTCCCCATCTTGTGCCACAAAGGACCCTCAGTGCATTTCCTGCCTTTTAGTTGTTCATTCATGGAGTTTACAGAGTAATGAAAGACTTCCAGACACAAAGGCTTAGGGTGGGGCTTAAGTGGTTGCATTTTCCCTGTTTCATCTACCCTCTCTTCCTTCCAAAAAGAAAGGAGACTGGGCTATTTCCGTACTAGAAAAACACTTTCCCTTCAGCTCTCTTTTCTCCATGATCCTGCTCCCCTATCTCCATCTATCAATCTTTAATCTCTGTCTTGCCTCCTTCCTTCACCTTAAAACATGCATAAGCTTTCCAATTATCAAAAATCTCCTCCCTCTAGGCACCTTCTGGTTGTTTGGTTTATAATCCACAACTCTACTTCTTCCTAAATCCTTTCTCCCCATTCTGAGTATCTCTTTGCGTTCACTGCACTCCTAACGCTATCTGCAGTCTCTGCTCACTACTCTGTCTGGCTTCACCTGACCTCTTTGAAGCACAGCATTGTCAACAGACTCCTAGAAGCTTCTTTAGAAACTTCTATTGTGGCTGCCCTCCTCTATTAGAGAAGCCAGTCCTTTTTTACTTTATCCACACCCACTTCCCTGCCCCCCAACTTGGAAAGGGATCTCCCCTACCACAAAAACCCTACCATTACTTAGTCACTGCAGATTACCTGAGGGCAACTGGTATGCAAGTCAATGTTTAAATACGGGTTCTCAAAAAAAAGAAAGAAAAGAAAAGAAAAAGAAAAAAGAAAGAAAAGTAAGTGCCCTGTTTGCCAATGTCCATGAAGCACTCAAACAACAGTGGATTTCATGCCACCAACATGATGTGGCTAAGTACGGAGCTGGGAAGAGATGTGCTCAATGGCTCTCACAAGCCAGCTCTAGCACACTCCTGTGAAGGGTGAAGAATTAGATCAATAGGACCATCTATCACCGTCTCTCACTTGAAAATTTAGACTAAGAGACTTCAAGATAATAGCAGAGTTCCCTGGAGTTGGAAGAGCATTTAGACTTCAGGATGAAGGCAGTGGTATGCTGGCTCGATGGGGGACTCCTTTGTAGCATTTGCCAACTTCCATGGTATAAATATTCCCACTAGGGCTGATGTCAAGCTATCAATACAATGTCACAGAACAGAGGTTGGGAAGAGATGCTAACGAATGGCTCTCATAGGCTGGTCTACGCTAGCTTCAGCTCACCACTGGGTATAGGGTATTCATACGGAACCACACACAATGATGAACACTACTAGGGATAGACTACAGGGAGTAAAAAGAATGAAAGCAACCAGACAGCATTCATGTAATACCAGAGTGCATGTGAACAAGAGGAATGTTGTTCCGGTGTTTCAAAGTTCCCATCTCTTGTGAGGCCTGACTCTACTTCTGGATCCCTGAGTTACATAGGAGCCCCTCTGTAACAAATGTCTCTGTGTTTAAACTGGCTTCAGTGCATTTTCACTTTCAACAATCAAGTTACCTTACTAAGATACTTTCCATCTTACTATTCCTGGCATCTTTGTTGGCTCCTCCTCTTTCTACCAACCCTAACTAAAATTGCAGAAGGTTCCTTGCTATATTCTTGCTGCAAAGAGCTTACCTATTTCTTTTCATTTTTCTTTTTTTAGTAGAGACAGGGTTTCACCATGTTGGTCAGGCTGGTCTTGAATTCCTGACCTCAGGTGATCCACCTGCCTCGGCCTCTCAAAGTGGTGGGATTACGGGTGTGAGCCACCACCCCCGGCTGAACTTACCAATTTCTATGGCTTCAGTTGTCACTTCTGAAAAAGACTTCCAAAAAAAACCATAGCCTGCCTTTGACAGATTTACCTTGTCTCACTTCTTACCAAGCTTTCGCGATGGGTTTTATTGACCATATTTTATAGAAACTGAGGTCTAGAGCAATCGATTGGTTCAAGGTTCAAGGGCACAAGACAGTGGCAGAGCTGAAGTCTGAAGCCCTATCTGACTTCAAGTCAATGCTCTTAACCTCAATATCCCAATTCCAGTTCCACATTTCCAACTACCTGCCAGCTATTAATACTAACATATTCCACTGTCACCTCAAACTCAAATATCTAAAATAGGAATGATCCCATGCTCCTTGCCATATCACATCCCCTGACTTTTTCCAGTCACAAAAGGTATAACTTTAACTCTAAAGTTATCTTGCAATAGTCATTTAATAAATCTTCATTGTGATTTAGGTACTAGGATTTAGTGGGGATCAAAAATGAGCAAATCCGATAAGAAAAAATATACTAAATATACATCAGGAGCTTGCAAGTACTATGGGAACAAATAAAGCAACTAGTCAGCAGAGAGCAGGGCCACTATTTTCTAAAGCACTCACTGGAGGAATCTTTGATGCGGCCAGCTGAGTATGAATCTGACAGGGAAGAGCATAGAGAAAAAGAGCAATGCAAAGCCCTGGCCTATTTGAGAAACTGCAAGGAGGCCAGGATTGCTGAAAAGTTGGAAGTGAAAGGAAGAAGACAGGACCAGAGACATGATTAAAAAAAACAGAGTCCTGAGGGTCTTATGGATTAGGACTCTGGATGACTACTAAGTTAGATGAGAAACTAATAGTTCTGGGCAGAGGACTAACAATGATTTGATTTGTGTTTCAAGAGGATTACTTTGCCAGGAGAACAGACTGTCAGGGACAAAGGTAGACACAGGGAGACCAGTAGAAGGTTACTACAATAATCTAGGCAAGAGGTGATGGTAGCTGGACAACATGGTGATGGGGAAGGTGGCAAGAAGAGGTAGACTTTGGTTATATTTTGAAATGAAATAAAAGCTGCTGATGGATTTGATGTGAAAGAGAAAGAAATAAGAGAAATCAATAAAAATGTTTTTGGCCTGAGTAACTGAAAGAACAGATTTGCTTGCCTACCATATCTGATCAGTCATCAAGTTCTGTTGATGCTTCTAGGTCTCCCATACATCTCATCATTTATATGTGCTGGCTCTTAATGGGTGGCAGGACTTTATTTCTCACTCCTGTAATGTCTTTAACACAGCATTCTAATGGGTTTGTTTCTCTGTCCTTTTGCATCTTCAATCTTTCTTGAATGCCATCCCCAAATCAGTCTTCCTTAAACATCACTAGATCACACCCTACAGCATTCTACCTCTGTGCCTTTCCTCCTGCCATGTCCTGACTTCCAAAGCCAGGAAGCACCGACTCAAATTCTTTCAAATCCAGGTCAGATTCTGTGCCCTCTGAGAAGCCTTGACCACGTGAATCCCTACTGATTTTTCTTTTTCCTTAATTCCTGTTGTACTTTAATAAGTGCACCATTTCTATGGCATTTACTATTACCAATAACAGTGTTTTAAAAGCCTCACCATGCCCTTCCCCACCCGGGCCCAAGTGTATGTTTTTATCAAAGCAGATTTTATGTAGAAATTTCACTTTATGGCCAGGAGTGGTGGCTCACGCCTGTCTCCCTAGCACTTTGGGAGGCCCAGGCAGGCGAATCACTTGAGGTCAGGAGCTCAAGACCAGCCTTGCCAACGTGGTGAAACCACATCCCTACCAAAAATAGAAAACTTAGCAGGGCATGGTGGTACACCTCTGTAACCCCAGCTACTTGGGAGGCTGAAGCAGGAGAATTGTTTGAACCTGGGAGGCAGAGGCTGCAGTGAGCTGAGATTGTGCCACTGTACTCCAGCCTGAGCACAGAGTGAGACTCCGTCTTAAAAAAAAAAAAAGAAAAAGAAAGAAAAACCAGTTTAATCTTTGTTTCCAGCACAATATCGTATACCTAGGACCTAAAAGAATAAATTAATGTCTTTATGGTCTGAATTATCAAGTGCAAAATAAAATAAAATGTTATAAGCATTAACAAAGCTACTTACATTTAATCATACAGAAAGATTTCTAGTCAACTAATAAAATATTTTTCTAGCTAAAGGTTAGCTTAATCATATTTTCTATATGAAATCTGATTTTTATTGTAATTATTGAAAATGTGAACAAACTGGGAACAAAGAGAAATATATCTTATGTAGATTCAAATAAATTATCAATAGAAACAGAACATAAAATGGATACAGAGAAAAAACACTTTAAGAAAAAAATTCCTGAAGCCTGTAACCCCAGCACTTTGGGAGGCCGAGGCGGGTGGATAACGAGGTCAAGAGATCAAGACCATCCTGGTCAACATGGTGAAACCCCGTCTCTACTAAAACTACAAAAAATTAGCTGGGCATGGTGGCACGTGCCTGTAGTCCCAGCTACTCAGGAGGCTGAGACAGGAGAATTGCCTGAACCCAGGAGGCGGAGGTTGTGGTGAGCCGAGATGGGGCCATTGCACTCCAGCCTGGGTAACAAGAGTGAAGCTCCGTCTCAAAAAAAAAAAAGAAAAAAATTCTAGACGGGAGGATCCAAGATGGCCGTTTAGGAACAGCTCGGGATTGCAGCTCCCAGTGAAAGTGCAGAGGGTGAGTGGATGCCGCATTTTTATTGCCCACAGACTAGGAAATTCCCAGGCGGAGGAGCTCCACAGGTCACCAGCGCGGCTGTGCCGGCCGGCGCGGCTGCTTTGCCCCACGCGGCTGCTTTGTCAGCGCCCTGGAGCAGCAGTTCTCTGTACAAAATACACCGGTCCGGCTGCCCTTTTGGCTGGCGAT